CGGATGTGAGTGAGCATGTTATTCTCAACAGAATAGTATTTCTTCTATCAGGATTCAACAGGCTCACTAGTACACCGATGACCTTGACCTCTTTTGGATAGAATCCCAACATAGCAAACTGAGAAATGAGAGCTTTTATCTGATACTGCATGCAATCTATCCAAAGGTTTTCTTGCTATGGCCATTACAATTCCTTGGGCTAAGCCCTATGCTAGACTATGCAAGAGACTCACACTTAAAATTTTCATAACTAAATCTTTTATATATACTACAGTTTGCAATACCAAGTCCCATTCAGTCTTCTACATTTCCTAATCCTTGAGATCTGGATCCTATGGGGATCCGTAATGGGACATTGCCCTAGTCACAGTTCAATCAAATGTCAGAGTTTTGTCAGGAAAATGCCACCTGTGGATGCTTCCCCAGGTGCAGATTAGAGTCTAGCTGATTTTTAATGGAATTGGCCAGTCTACAACCTATGCATATGGAACTGGAAGTAAGATTCATTCAGGGAGACTTTACATTTGCAAAAGTAAATATGCTTTCTTAGTAGCTCATGCTGTGAGTGAAAATGGCAAACAATTCTCTGCATTTAAACTAGACATAGAATACATAAGCCTACTTGTCTTGACCTCCTTGCCATTTGGAAACCATTTTTCTCTCCATATTCTGTCGTCATGGCGGTCTCTTGTCCTGCGTAAAGGCTATGAACTGTGACAATCAAAAATTGTGCTTTTAAACAGAAATCCTATTTAATTTTTTTACAATATACACAATTAAATTTCTTGCTAAAATCTATAAAGCATAGGCTGATCATGATCTTCTGAACTTCTCTGCCTTCTATCTTATTTTATCTGGATGGAAGGGAAAGGACAAGCAAACCAGATCAGTTTGGTAAGATTATGATTTAAAAAGCTCAGAAGAGTTGCCTTGGGGAACCCTGCTATTCAAAATTGGTGAACTTCTGCTCTATACTAGAAGCACATAATGCTAAACAGAAACCAGGAAACAAGATATTCTGTGTAATCATTCATTTGGTGCTAAATACTAATGATTTTGGCAGAGTTCAGTTCCTCCCTGTGACTTCTGGTATGCCTACAGAACTATGCTTATTTAAACGAAAGCAGAAGCTGTCTGTGGTTTTTAACAAGAATAATGTCTGAGAATAAAGCACAGCCTCTCAGAGATTACATTTTTCAGATAACTCCAATTCCTACTCTTTCTGCCCCATGCCTAAAATTATGAGGGGGCACAGAGAACATAACTGCTTGCAAGAGATGAGACATATGGCTGTCTCTCACTTTCAGCAGCCTGCAGTTTCTGACAAGAAGACGACGACATGATGTGAACTGTAAACAGATGCAAACAAGTTTAGAAGCAGACTAATCCAAACTCTAAACTATGTCAAAACTTTCCATTCATTCTGCCATGGTAAAGAGTTGACAATTCTCCCATGAGATCCACAACATGCCATTCTCAAGGACCAAGACAGAAGTGTTTCCTGTACTCAAAATTCCTCTCTAAAATGCTGATTAACATATTATTTTTCATGTTACTGCATAAAGATGTTCTCCTTGGGATTTGATTATTGTTGTCATGCAGTTCTAAGGAAATATGCATATGAGGAAACAACAGCTCTCTAATCCTAAGGAAAATGGATTGTAGATTGTAGAAGCGTTTGCTCACAGATCAGCTTCAATGACCTGCTTAGTACCAGAGATGCCAATGTTATGGCCCTATCTAGACCACCAACTTATATCAGTTTAAACCACTCCCCCCCAAAGAATTCTGGGAATTCCAGATCCATTCGGTATGGAAATAAACCTAGTCACAGACAGACAACAGAGCACCACACCTGGATGTAGGAAACTTGAACATGTATTGAGCTAGGAAAAGCTGTCAGTAGTCTTGGGTAAGTGTCTTTTAGTCTGACCTACGGAGAACCAGCAAAGGGTACTTTTTGTACTGTTAACTTCTGGAAGCTTCCAGGCAGGATAAAGCAGCTTTAAAAAAAAATCCTATAGGAACACATTTTTAATATGAACCCACACGAGTCTTTAGATTCTCAGGGAACATCATTCTCTTAATCCCACCACCATTTTAAAATTATGTTCAGACCACAAGAGACAACCTTTGCAATGGTTGCTCCTGAGCTGCTGCTCTCCTTTTAGCAGGAAGCAAAAATCTTTCCAGTTATGAAGATGTGGGGAGTCTTTTTGGTGTGCATATGTACTTTATTTTTCTCTTCAGTACTGTGTTCTATGTGATTGTATACCATTGCAGTCAGGTATCCATATCCACAAATTCTTTATCCATGGATTCAGCCATCCACTGCTTGAACATATTCCCAAAAGCAAACCTTGATGTTACCATTTTATATAAGGGACACTATTTTATTACAACATTGTATATAATGGGGCTTCAGCATCCACAGATTTTGATACTGATGGGGGTGGATGGGTCCTGGAACCAAGCCACAGTGGATACCAAGACCCCACTGCATTGCTACTTTGTTGTTGTGTGCCTTCAAATTGTTTCAAAAATATGACAATCCTAAAGGAAAGCTATTGTGGAGTCTTCTTGCCTTTCTCTGAGACTGAGTTTGTGAAAGGCACAAAATCACCCACCCAGGGCCACAGTCCAACACTCAAACTATTATGTCAGAATATGATAGATAGCTTTTTTAAATTGTGTTTTAACTTTCTTATCGTCTGATATTTAGCTTTATCTTTAAAATTATTGTAATTATTGGAAAAAGGGTATATACAATACATTAAGTAAATAAATACTGTTAAATTGTCAAACATTGCTCTGAATTTCATAGTGTTTTTAGACTATTTTAGACTATTTTTAATTAGTTAAACCGATTTTACTTGTCTGCTGCCTGAGATGTCCTACTATAGAGTGGGATATAAATATTCTGATGACAACAATGAAGACAGTGATATAAACATATTTAAAAATAAAGTTTTGCTGTTCATAACATATGTTTGGGATGTTACTGAAACATAATAAGTAAATAAGTTTCTTATAATCTAAAAGGAAATAGAAAGATAGTATAAGTTAAAGGGGAAATTATGCCACCTTTTAAATAATTTCCAGATGGACAGAAAAAGCTGGTTCTAATTTTTTTTAATTATTTGAAGTTTGTGTTGTATCTTTTGGTGAAATGTTGCAGCTATGTATAGCAAGGGAGAGAAAAGCTTCCAGTGAAAATTTAAAAAAATGAATGCTGTCATCCCAGAAATGAACAAAAGTATTTTGAAGTAATTTTTTAACTTCTATTTTGTCTTTGGGAAGATTAGGAACATTTCACTATCATTAATTTCCAATTTTTAGTATAAAATGGTTTGATGAATTAAGAAAATACAATAATTACCTTTAAGTATTATACAAACACACCTAGGACCAAACTCAGAGGCTGAATGAACTTTTGGACATTGTGAGTTCTTTTTAAAATCAACAAGTTGTAAAATGTAAATAGATAAGCATTTATATAGCAGTGATAAATCTATATATAACCTGACAAGAAATGACACCACCCTAAAGAAAAAGAAGGCCACAGTCATCTGCTGTTTCAGAGACACATTAAAAACTAACAAGCTTAAAATAAAGCATTTACAATCCAGGATATTCACGTTCAGTTGAAAGTAAGTCTTACTAACTAGATAAAATTAATTAAATTATCCATTAAGTTATACAGTCTCCAACAAAAAGGGGAAACTTAATTAAATTTATATTTTAATTTAACTGTTTGAAATAAATAGGGATGTCACCATTACCTTAAATCCAGTATTAAATTAATTATTCATTAATGAAATAAGAGACGGCTAATTTTCCCAGTCTTTTAAAGCACAGACAACTTCCATTGAATGCCTGAAAAAGTGTTATTTCCTTTTTATTATTCCTTCCAGTTGGATAATTACAATATTGAAGCTTAAAGAGTCAAACCATTAACCAGATAGTAGTTATAGTAAAATAAATTATGTTAACCGCCTCTGAGTTTATCAGTTACAATGGCTTATTTCTATACATAATCAAGGAAGAACAAACAGACTGAGAGACAACTTTTATTCTAGAGCTGTAACTATACTGAACTACATGGCTTTACACTGCTTCACACTGATGTGGCATTGGGGCCTGTGCAGTAGACTGGGAATGTGGAGGGATGGGTGTGTTGTTTATGTTGTGTGCTGGGGGAAATCATTTAATTCTGTTGTACAAGCAGGGAGCCGCCCAGCACCAGCAACATCTGTGCAGGGAGCCCCCATGGCCCCCACTGCCTGGCCCCTTCAAGGGCCCAAGCCTCCTCGCCGCCTGGCAGCAGCTACATTTGGGCAGGGAGCCGCCCAGCACCAGCAACATCTGTGCAGAGAGCCCCCATGACCCCCACTGCCTTGCCTCCTTACTGCCTGGCACCTGTAACATCTGTTGATGTGTGAAGACTACTTACCTGGATTAGTTAAACTGAGGCCTTTCCATCAACTCCTTACAGATCATTTTGGGCAGCCTTGGTGGCTCTGGTCCTCATCACAAACTTTCGTTATAATTGCACTGTCTACAAAATTGGTGACTGAAAACTACACAAACTGCCAAACAATCATGTCTGACAATTTTAATGATTTTAATTTACAGTTATATGTTATTGTTTTTGATATGTGATGTATTGTTTTTATTAGTATATGAGGTACTGAATTTTTGCCAATTATTATGGTGTAAACCGCTTTGAGATGTGGGATTATCTCAACTATTTTTATGAAGAAAAAGTGGCACCTGAAGATACTTTTCCTAATATTAAGAGACTGCTGAAAGGGAAAAAATTACCACACTGAATGTATGGGGCATTTGAGGACATCAAAGTAGTAGTTAAAAGTCAAGAGGCATTGCTGGTTTGGATTTTTGGTGTCCATTAAGCCAACCTTGTTAAAATCCTGCTTACTCAATGAAGATGGCATTTACAAGGAAAGTGTTCAATATTAATTATTGCTTGGTTTACTCACAACATTCACTGTTGTCTGTCAGGTCTCTCAGATTTCACCTTGAAGAATTTGCAGTTGTTGCTGTATTGCTCACAGGCCTTCAGTGGTGCTCTCTTTCAAATAAAATAAAAATAAAAAATCTTTAATTAAAATAGCACAGAGAGATAAAATATATGGTGAAATGTCACAGTGAAGTTTCAATCAATTTTATAAAGCTTAATGGACCAAAGGTAAATATGAAAGAAGATCTCAGTCCAGAATGTTCTCTGAACTCTGCTCTTCAAGGTTAGTTATTGCAGAGGCTTCATAGATTTTGTTCCAAAAAGTGGAAGTTAGAACAAAAATAACAAGAAACATTTTAGGTGTCTTTGTTACCATGTACATGCTAAACACACATAATTATATAGCGCAAAGGAATCCAAAATCAAAGTGCTTGATCCCCTTCTTATAACTGTTTTTTTAAGCACAAGTTCATGGTCTACCCACCTATAAACTGTTGCATTATCAGAAATATTATTTTGAATACATTATAAGTCAGCATGGTACGCTACATTTACAAGTACTATGTATACAATATGATTTTGCAGTGCTGTGAAAAATTCTAGGTTGCTATCAGTAAGAGCTAACTACTAAGAAAAATATTTATAAACCATATAAAATGTAGTCGCAATTAAGGAACATTTAGTATGCCCACAGATTCCCAGTTTTACTCTCTAATATAGAGCATATGCTTTAAGGGGCATTTTCTTTTCTGACCCTGGTTTGTTTGGTTTTTCATAGGCCGTCATACCCCATTAGTGCAGTTCTCTCAAAGGACAGCTTTAGAGATTTGTAGCCTAAATGGCATAGATGAAGAGATCAATTTTAAAGATTCTAGAATCACCAGGAAGAGGTGATGTTCCCCTAACTAGAGTTAGACATGATGAACCTGCCACCCAGTTCCCAGAAGAACCTTTAGTCACCTTCTACCTGAAGTACCTTTTACTAGGAAACCTACAAATGCCAGAGAAAATGTTCTCTATAGGAATTTCCACTGTGATTTTTCATGGACATAGACCACAGAGTTGTGCTGGAGGAGGTAATGGGCTGGATGAAGAAAAACAAAGTGAAACTGAATCCAAACAGTACAAAGGTGCTTGCTATCAAGGGTCCTAACCTGAGGATGAAGGTGTGTCAATCAATCCCCCTGAAAGACTGTGTTTGCAGCTTGGGAGTGCTCCTAGAACTGTCTCTCCAAATGTCAGCCCAGGTAGATGCAACGGTCAGAAGTGTTTGCTTTCAGCTTTGGCTGATATGCCAGCTGCACCCCTTCTTAGAATCGAGGGACCTAAAGATGGTAATGCTGGTAACATCAAGGTTGGTCTTCTGCTGCTATTATTATTATTATTATTATTATTATTATTATTATTATTAGCCACCACTCAAGACACTTTACCACACTGACCTACTTAAGGTATCAGTATTCTGCACTTTGTAAAATATTTATCCCAGTGTAGTTACTAAAAAACAACATCCTCTGAAATACACCCCGATTTCTCATTTTTCCCATTTCATATGTAAATGGGTTGCAGAGGAAGAGTCAAACAGATTCCCAAATTGATTCAGTTGGGAAACTAGCTGCTGAGCAGGATGAGCCTCGGGTATTTTCTGTATTGTAACAAAAACTAAACTCTACCACATTCAAAAGTGACTGCATATCCCCAGCCCTTTTTTAGCATAACACTTTCCCAACAGCAATATAACACACTTCAAACTACATTATGAGAAGCTGTAATGTACTAGGCAGTTTAGAAAAAAAATACTGTCTTGGTGCTTTTGCAAGCTATTCATTTAAAATTCACAGGATCTCCTATGTTTGATCTGAAAGCTAGAGGCTTGTGCGTAAGAGTGTGCCGCATTCTCCTGGTATTTGTACCATGTCTTCTCTTGCTGTCCTATGAAGTGCTCTGTAATTTAGTCTTTCTAAACCAACTACTGTATTGTTAATAAAAAGGCTGTTGTAAGTGCCAGCAATGATGTTCCCATTTCATTATTCATATTATTCCATCACTAATCCTTCATTCACTTTTAAACACTACTTCACTTCCTTTTCACATGAAATAAGCCTTCTACAGGTTCACTCATGTTCTGCCGACTGGGATGAAGCGCAACTAAGCCTTTTCAAGTGTATGTCATTCAATTATGTGAATGAGTCATTTTAAATAGTTTTCAACCAGTTTATAAAACTACATGAGGAAGAAATACATTTTGTGTTTTCTCATGAACAAATTAAAGGAATTGTAAATTACTCATTTCTGTTCTAAGATATACATGCTGTTGATCTGTTATTGTATATTTTACAAAATATCCAGAAATTTGGAGAGTTCACTCAACATCACACATGACATAAAGCCAAATTATATCCTGATTTTTACAAGCTTAGACTTCATATGAAACCTGTAAGCATTTACACAACAGAACTCACTACTGAAAGACAAGAACACGCAGGAACTACAATCAAACAGAAAGTTACGATCACTGAGGGTGATCTACACTGTAGAATGAATGCAGTTTGATAGCACTTTGCACAATTCTATGGAATCATGGGAGCGGTAGTTTCTGAACTTTGGCAGAAAAGGCTTAAGACCTTACCAAACTGCATTAATTCTATAGTACAGATGCATTCTCAGTCTTCTTATTTTGGCTGACGTACAAACTCCATGTTGCACTGATTACTCAGTGACTATAATTAAAACATCTTGTTAAGATCATGCCTGCAACTGAGTTGCCCTTTCATTTGGTGGACTCCTTAAAATGGAGGTCCCTTGATGCTTCACAATAAAGGGAAATTTAGATCCCTTCTACACTGCCATATACAATCCAGATTATCTGCTTTGAACTGGATTATATAGCAGTGTAGACACATATAATCCAGTTCAAAGTAGATAATATGGATTATCTGTTTTTATAATCTGGATTATACGGCAGTGTGGAAGGGGCCGTAGAAAGACGGCCCATGCAGGGGTTTGTTTCTACCTGCTAGCAATATGTGCAGCTATGCCACAGCTGTTGTCTTTCCTTTACATTAGCACTACTATTACAAAGGGGGGCCAGTGTGGGGCAGTAGTCTGAGCACTGGACTGTGACTCTGGCGACCCAAGTTTGAGTTCCCACTTGGCCATGAAACTCATTGGGTGACATTGTGCAAGTCTCTCAGTCTCAGAAGAAGTTAATGGTAAGCCCTCTCTGAACAAATCTTGGCAAGAAACCCCTGTGATAAGGCTGTTGTAGGCTGGAAATGACTTGAAAGAACACAACAACAAATTATCATGAGAGGGAGATCAGCAGAAGCAAAGCCCATTGTAGAGAACCACACAAATGAGATTGAAAGGAAATGGAGAGGGCAAGTTGACACTACTCCAAAGCTGCATTTCTGTTCCCATAATGAGTTCTACTGCTTTGAATGAGATGCAAGAATGCTCTGTGCAAGGCTGTACTTTAATTAAGTTCCTTCTTCAGTGCGGGAGTCAAATCTTTTTCTTAACACTGCCAGTTATTTACCATAATATCAAAACTCCAATCTGTGAAGAATTCTAAAATTTGAATTAAAAACAGGCCATTTTTGCACCTTCCTACTCACAGTATTTAGCACTTTAAGAAAATAAATAAAAGTAATGCAGACTTTCTGCCAGGCTAGATAACAGAATCTTCAGTTCAGTTCCGTAATGTGCTTTTTCCCCAAAGGAGCTTTATTGTTTTAGCAATATAATTTTTAAAAAGACCTCTCATTTTGCATAAATATGCAATAAAAATGAACTTTCATGGTAAATTCTACACACAGAGAGAAGCAAAACTTTCTTCTCAGCAACATTTAACTTGCCTTCCACTTGGCAAGGATACTCAACTGGTGGCCTGCTGCTAGTGTATGACCATGAAAGACAGGCTGTCAGGCTGCTTACTGTGACTATACCTGCAGAAAAGGTATTCCACATAAAGAAGCCATCATGTTCAAAACAAAAGGGAGAATGGGGCAGAAGAGAAGGACAGAGATAAGATGGACAAGAAGTCCTAATATGATGCAAACAAAAGTGCTTCAGCTTCATCCTTCACCCCAACATTATCATCTCTTCTGCTCTATGTATGTATGCCCATGCAAACAACATTCCCTTTGCTACTGAATCTGGTGAAACATATGTGTGCTTCTATTCTCTGTGTGTTTTCATCATGCCTGTCATATACAATTGCCCCTCCATATCCATGGATTCTGTATTCACGGATTCAACCCATCCAACAAGAAAACTTTGATTTTGCTGTTTTATATAAGGACACCATTTTACTATGCCATTATATACAGTATAATGGGACTTGAGGAATCACAACTTTTTTTATCTACTGAGGTGTCCTGGAACCAAATTCTAGTGGATATCAAGCACACACACCATAAGCTTCAGAACAGATGACAAAAATTACTGCTGGCATAAGATGTTCAGCTGCCCTTAGGCCTCGAGTCTCTCAAGTGGATCTACTCATACTATAAAATAAATAAATAAATAAATAAATAAATAAATAATAAACTTTATTTATATACCACTCTATCTCCTCTAGGGAACTCAGAGCGGTTTACACAAAAACATACAGAGTAGCCATTAAAATATAAACATAACCTATAAACACAATCCTATGCATTGACACAGCCAATTCCACATGATTCCATTGTGCAAATGAGTTACCAAAAAAATCTTACTATTTTCAATACTCACCCAAAACCTCACATTTTAAAGAAAACAATCCTCCATATTTTGGGACTTTCATCTTTCTCAGGATGTGGAGAAGGTCAGAAGCAGAGAGCATTGCAAAAAGCCCCAAACACTATTGTGAAAATGAGATTGTTTAACCAAACAAAGACTTCTTCAAGAAGACAGCAACATGGGGAGAGAAACCACTCACATTAGGTTATAATGCAATATGAGAGACCGTCCCTGTTTTATTCCATTGAATTCTCTCTCTGAATCCTCCAGTCTTCCCACGTCTAAGACTTTAACAAAAGGTGAATCTAATAGTGATTATGTGACAAAAAGCGTAATGCCAGAAAGAACAGAAACAAACTTCTTGCAGAATGGTAGTGCAGATATTT